ATATAGTCAAAATATTGTAACAACTTGGTATGGTGATAGCTGGTACCTAGAATTATCATGTATATAAATGTTAAATCACTGTGTTGTACACCTGAAACTAATGTAATACTGTGTGTCAACTACCCTTCAATAAAAAAAAAAAAAGAACAAATGATTATTTCCTTGTATCTCCCTGAGATGGTAAGTTTGTTCACCTTGCTATCTTAAATATCCCATCCTTCCCTGAGACCTCTATGTTGAAGATACAGCAATCCATGGCATTCTTAGAAGTCATACTTCCTTGGTGGTCTCAGATTCTTCTAAGCTCAAATGTTCAAGGAAAATTCCAGTCTGGCTAGAATTTAAAAAAGAAGAACTCTTGTTTTTATTTTAGCATGTGCCAGGCTCATAAATGCCTTTCAACATATGGACGCTGAAATAACTGAGTGAAAAAGTGGTTCTGTTTTCTGAACTTGACTCACATAATGAAGACTCTGAAAATGCCACAGTTATCGACATAACACATAATTTCAATTTGAAGGACACTACAAGAACTGGAGGATATCTGCTAGTTTAACCTTTCTGGTGAATATGACTTTCACATTTCCCTCACATTTATTTTGCTGATTAAGTGTACCAAGGTCTCAGGTGAATGAGGTATAGCAGTGGAAGTGTCCTTGAATAAGCCTGTGATGACATATTTGAAAAAAAGAGTCAACTCATTTAGAGAAATAAGCAGGATGTGGTACAAAGAGGTTACTTGGAGTAATTCAAAATTTTAAACCTGACTCTCTTACCTATTTATAGGGTCTTCTTTTGTAAACTGGAGTTAATAAAGAGCCTAATTCATGGTTTGTTGTCCCTTTCTTGTGTTACTTTTTTTGTGTTAAGTAAGATTATGGTTATAAGGTGCCAAGACTTATCATTTATAAAGTACCAAATTTATAAATTTATAGTCCCAAAATTACTGTTTCCTTACACAGAAGATAGCACTAAAATATAAATAAAATAGCAGAATTGATTTTTATGGGGAAAAGAGCAAACATTTGTTTAGCTCCGTGGTTCTGCTGAGCTGGAATGGACTTGGCTTTACTGGGCTAGGCTCACTCATTAAGCTGCAGTCAGCTGTTGGACTGGTGGTGACTGGCTGGTCTAGTGTGGCCACAACTGCAGCCAATCCTCTGTTCTCTGTGGTCTCTCACGTTCTAGCAGCCTCTTCTGGGCTATTCTCATGTCCATGCGGTACAACAAATGAGCACAAGCACTGAAGAATGTTGAGGCCCAGGCTTAGAACTGGCATATGATCTCTTGCTACACATTCTGTTAGCCAAAGAAGGTCCCTAGGCTCACCCACACTCAAGGTCATGCAGAAGCGGACACCAAGTATGAACAGGAGGAAATGAAAGTCATATTGTAAATGGTGTGAGTATGGCAATGGTAAAGAATTGCAGCCATTATTGCAACAAATCTGTCATAAAACTGGTAACTAAAATGTGTTCTCTTCCTAGCTTGATTAAGTACTTCATAATGTCCTGCAGTTACAGTGTTGAATTTCTAATTCGTGGAATCTAGAAAGGGGAGGCAGGGGGAGAATTGGTCATTGGTGGAACTCCTCTATCTTGCTTACTTCAAGAAACAGAAGTGGAAACTAATTCCTTCCCAAACAGTGTTAATAGGTGTATGTTGAGAAGATATTAGCACTTTCAAGTGGTAACGAGCCAACAGAATTTTTTAACATTTCTTCCTGTTATATATGATTGTCACAATGACAACACTGATCATTTTGCTATTAAAATCTTTTCCTTGATCCACGTTGTATTAGCTTCATATTTCTGTGAAACAAGTCACCACAAATTTAGTAGCTTAAAACAACACTTCTTTATCAGCTGGACACAGTACAGCTGGAGTCTCTGCTCAGAGTATCACAGGGCTGGAATCAAGCTGCTGGCTGCTGAATTCTCATCTGAAGGCTTGAGAAAATCCCACTTTCATCTTCATTCTGAGTGTTGGCAGTATTCATCTTGTGATTGTGTGACAGAGGTCCCTGTTTTCTTGCTAGCTGACAGCTCCTACAGATGTTTTCAGTTCCTAGAGGCCACCTGCATTAGTTTTGATGTGGCCTTCTCCATCTTCAGCCAGCAATGGTACAGTGAATCTTTCTAATATGTTAAATGTCTGAATTCCTTTCACTGATCTCTTAAATCACAAGATCTAAATAAATTATTAGCTCAGGCCCACCTGGATAATTTCTCTTTTGAAGCCATATAGCATAATCTAATTAACAAAGTGAGAGTCTATATTTATATATTAAATTGGATTTATCAAATTATATCTTCAAAATTAATATATAGGAATTGCATATTTTTATTTTACTTTAAAATAACTTAAATTATAAATACATATCAATGTCTTAGATTCTTAAAATCATCTAATAATAGTTGTAAATTAACATTTTACTGTTTCTCTCAAAAATAGAGAATGGAAAGACACCTTTTCATTATTATGGATAATATAAATCACAAATAGAGTAACATAAAGAATAATATAAATAACAACAACAACAGAAACAATAATAGTATTATACTTGTGAGATTCATCCACGTAGGTATATGTAGCTCTAGTCCAGTCATTTTTCTTTCTGTATTGTATATCTTTGAATAAAACAAATTATTTTTATCCATTGTCTCCTTTATGAGCATTTAAAATTTGTACAAGATTTCTGCCTTTAAAAATTGTGCTAAAATGGAACATCTTTGCATATATCTTCCAGTATACATATGCCAGATTTATCTAATATTTATTTTTTGAATGGACCATTTCTTTTATATGTCTTGTAATTCTGTTTATTTTCCTCCTATTTCATGAGAAACTCCTTCTCAGTAATCTTTTCTTCCTTTAATAGCCTAGCACCTCAAAAACTCAGTCTCAGTTTCCATTCTCTTCTTTCCAAACCAGATACATAAATAATCTTATCAAGCTCCATAGCTTTAAATATTAATGGCTTTCAAATATCTACAGACACACCTACCCAAATCCCTACTTGACATTTGAATGTCTAATAAATATCATGCACTTAACATAACTTACTCTTAACACAGATCTTAATTTTCACCCCCAAATTCTGCTCCTTCCTTAATGTTCAAGTTGGTTAATTAGATTACAATGCACCTAAGTGCTCAGGCCAAAAATCTAAGAGCTGTCATTTTTCTCACTGAATCCTCTCAAGCACAAATTGCTCTATGTTCAAAACGTATCTGGAATTGGTGGTTTTCAACACTTCCACCAGTGCCAACTTAATCCAAAAGACATTACCATTCCCTGTTTGATGAATTTTTAGTTCCTTGTAAGTAATTTTGCTTTTCTTCTTCCCATTTCTACACAGCATGCTTAGTGATTTTTTAAAAAGTTACATCATATCACTCACCTGATGCATTGCAGTGACCACTGATACTTATATACCCCCAAATAATTAATCCTGTAATAAAATCATTTAGACAATAGCTAAGGTCTAAATCTAGTGAAACCCAAAATTATACTTTAAAAATAAATTGAATCATATTTTATTATGATATTATCTAACATTACATTTCATGGAGCACAAAAGGATAGCAGTTAGTGGTAGTCTGTACTTTTTTAAGGTAACTTTGGAAAACCACTGTGCATTTGAAAGATTTCTGGGTATGCTTTATAAAATGCATTTATTCAGATTTTATTTTACTTTAAAGACTTATTATGCATTGCAATTTCTATGTAAAATTCATCCTTAGTTTCATTGGTTTCACATTAAAAACTGGTTGTTATTATGTCTTGAAATTGTATTAAAATAGTATTTCCTTATTATTTAAGGTGGGCCTTTTTTAAAGGACTACATAACCATCCAAAGCATTGCAGCTTCCTCCATGGTCACACTCTATTTTACAGACCTAGGTCAACAGGTCAGTTGGACGACAGTAAGTATTAATTTGAAATACAGTATACACACCTCACATTTTGATGTGAGTAATATGTTGACAGGATTTTTCTATCTAATACATAGTGAAGCAAAACATTATACCGAATGTTATTTTAAACTGTCCATTCTTGCTATGATCAATGGCAAAGTTCCATTTAAGAACTGGAACAATTGGAAATACAACAGCTGAAAGAAGCAAGATAAATTCCCTTTTTTTAAAGTGTCTGTCCATCCTATGACTGACTGATGGGTCCCTTTCTGCTTCCCCTCTGCCTTGTCAGTGAAATGATATTCCTTCAGCTTTATCCTAAGAGCCTGGGGATAAAGTAGACTCTTGACTTTGGAAAGAGGAAGATACAAAATTCAATAAAATATGTTCCAAGTCAAGGGGGGAAAGTTTGGGAACTGTGAGTGATGCAGCAGAACTTCCTGGAATTGGGAAGGTGCTGGTTATTGGCTTTTCTTGGAGGAGCAGCTTTCAGTAGTGGCAACTGAACCCAGTGGCCTTAGAAGAGTGGAGACCACATTAAAAGACATGGAGGACTAAGAAGTAGAGAAAGTACTTGACACTAGTTCAAGAATACTGAACTATTTATGAGTAATGGAATAAATAGATAAATGGAATAGCTTCAGTAGTGGGAGGGTATGCTATTGATATTTGCTGACACACATAGTGAGTTAATCTGATAAATAATTTTGACACCAATATATGAAGGACAGTGTGATTTTAAATTAAATTAAATTATATTATTTATTTTTAAGTGAAATTCTTTTAAATTAATTTTTAGATTGAATTACTCTTAATAATTATATTTTTAAATTAAACTATTTTATTTATATTGCTTAGGCTTTTTTAAAAATTTTGGTATCATTAATGTTCAATTACTTGAACATTATGGTTACTAGACTCCCCCCATTATCAAGTCCCCTCCACATATCCCATTACAGTCAGTGTCCATCAGCATAGCAAGATGCTATAGAATCATTACTTGTCTTTGTATATACTGCCTTTCCTGTGTCCCCTCCCTACATTATGTGTGCTAATCATAATGCTGGTGGGAATGCTTAGGCTTTTAAACGTTTCCTCATTACAATCTGTTCCATATTGGTGATATGATTCTTTTTAATATTTTCTAATCATAATAGCTTTCCTTTTTGCCATCATTATCAATCAGCATTATCATCCTTGGTGCTCTGAGTTTTCCCTTTATAGTTAAACAGTCAATTTTTAAAAGTAATACAAACACAAAATAATTTATTCACTTTTATTTAATTCTCAAAGAGAGAAATTCAAGTTATATTCATTCATTAAAATATTGGTACATCCTTTATTTTTCTAACAATCTCTCCCTTAAGTATATATTATCTTCCTGTATCTAGGTAATTCTCTATATTTTAACGTTATTGGTTAAATAATCTCCTTAGTTTCCAGAGTTTGTTGAGCTTCTGAGTACTAATTTGTTATACTAAAAACTGAGCTTAAAATACTCTTAATCCTTATGAAGTATATTATAATGTTTACAAAACAACCTATAAATGCATGCATTGTGAAAGCAAAGGGTTTAATACTCAAATATGGTATCTTTATATCTTTGCTAAAATATTTTAGACAAGAAGATTTTGATCTTCAAAGGTTAAACTATTGAGTCTGTCAACTTTTATGATGAAAAGGGAATTCTTTCTACAAAAGTTGCGTCAGGGCAATCACATTAACTGAGTTCATTAGAAATTCCAGCTGCATCATTTGGATAAGCATGGACGACAGAAAGAGCTAAGGTGGAATTTTACAACAATTGTACTAGAAAATTATAGTTTACTTGAGAGGAAAGTCATTTAGGTGACAAAGAGAACTCTGGAAATAGGCTGTATATTTTTAAATCACACAAGCTCCAAATGAGTCAGTCCTATTCAATGATAAAAATATAATGATTACATTGCAATCATACCTACTTTATGTCAACTAAATTATGCAATAAAAACAATATTTCAGCAACATAACATTCTTGAACATTTATTAAAATACTAAAAGTGTTCCTATAATCTATTATAAATGCATTATCATCGTGTTTTTTTAGAAACAACTTCTTTAGCAAGGTCAAAATTAAATTTTAATATTTTTCATCAAGAATGTGCTGTCATAGGACATTGAGAAAATTCTTGCTGCATTTAACTATTGAAAGGCTTAGGATAAACAGATAGTATAATAATAGTATCCTCATTATATAATTCCTATTAAATAAAGATATTATTCAGTTTTCACCATTTTTATGTTTATGTGTGGGCACATAATTTTGTTTTATATTATTTTATATTATGTTTTATATTTTTATTATGTATATTATACATACATAAAATTGTATATTGCATATTTATTTATGTGTGCAATTTATCTCTTTCATAGACCCATACACCTACCACCAAAATCAGAAATGTTCCATACCCACCAAGGAATTCCCTCACTTAACACCTCTAAATTCACACTCTCTTTTCCCTATCTGGGACAACCACCAACCTGCTCCTCTCCAGTTTTTTGAGATTCATGTTTATTTTTCTCTAAGCATACTGCCTTTGGGATCCCTTCTGTTTATTGCATGTGACAGAGCTTAGTTCCTTTTCATTGGTGAGTTGTATCTGGTTGTATGGATGCTAGTAATATTTGTTTACTCATTCAACCAGTGACAGATATTTGAGTGGTTTTTAGTATTTTTCTTTTAAAATTAAGCTGTTATCTATCTGTGATAGGCATTTGTGTTGAACATAGTTTTTATTTATCTGGGACACACTGTTCAGTTTGTTTTTTTGTATTTGCTTAATTGAAATATAGTTGACAGACAATATTCTGTGGCTTCAAGTGTATAACATGATTTGCCAAGTATGCACGTTACTAAATGCTTACCACAAGCAATGCAGTTACCATCCCTCAACATACAAAGATATCACAATAGTTTTTACAGTATTTCCTATGTTGTAGTTTTGCAGGTTTGCAAATATTTTCTCTTAGTTTTTAACTTGTCTGTTCACCCATTAACAGTGTTTGTGGTTGTTATCAAAGTTTTTTATTTTAATGGAGTCTACTTTATCAATATTTAAAGGATCTTGCCTTCACTGTCATATGTAAAAACCCTTTGCTGGTTCTAGGTTCTGGAGTTTTTTTCTTATGTTTTCTTCTAATAGTTTAGTAGTTTTGTATCTTACATCTTCATAATAGTCTATTTAATGGTAAAGGACTATCTGTCTGCCAACTATTCGTTCTTTTTGGTTTGACTCATGTGTTCTATTACCCTTTTTTTTTGCATCATTTTGAATAAATCGTTTTACTTTCTTTTCTATTAGCCTCTCTGCTATTTGATAGTTATATCTTTCCTATTAAATCTACTGGTTTCCCAAGAGTTTATAAGGTGTATCTTTAGTATACTTAACACCAACATACATTGTTTAATTTGTTTGCTAATGTGAAGATACTTCATAGTTTATTGATTTTATTATATTTAAGTTCCTCCTGAGCTAATCTATTGTTGTAATATATTTTAATTTTCTATATATTTTAAAGTCAAAGTGCACTACTATAATTTTATATGGCCAATATTTATCCTTTTCACTGCAATTTAGTTGTTCCTTCTAATGCTGAGGTTACATCTTGTATCACTATCATTCTTCCTGAGAACAACTTTATTGTTTTATTCTAGTTCTGCCACTGATGAATTCTCTTATTTTTTGTTCATCTTAAAACATATTTATTTATTTATCTTTTATTTTTGGAGAATATTATTGCAGAAAAATAATTCCATGTTGGCAATTATTTTTGTCTTTGCTTCACAAAATTTCATTATTTTGATTTTTGACTCCCATTGTTTCTGTTGAAAAGTCTGCTATATTCCTTTTAAATTAACACATCTATTCTGTTTCATTTAAAATTTTTCTTTTGTTTAATTATCACCAGTTTGACTATGATATCCATAGTTATGATTATGTTTCTATGTACCCTGCTTTGGACTTATAGTCTATGTTTTGGTATAAATATTTAATTTGAAAATCTCTCCATCTTTTGTTTCTCCATTATACTCTTTGTAGTCTCCTTGTGGGATTCATATTACATTTCCATATTTTCTTTTTGGAGTTTTCAAATATCTGCTGAAAATCTCAACCTTGTCTTTTATTTCTTGAACATATAAAAGATAGGCTTTAAAAAAAATTATGTTTCTGATAATTCTGTTAAGTGAATCCTCAGTTCTACTTTGAACGTCGCTTTCCTTGGTTTTGGTCACAGTATCTTCGCTCCTTGTATGCCTCATATTTCTGACCTAAGGTAGGAAAATTTCTGTGAAAATTGATCAGTTGAGGCATAGGATGATTTTATCCCTCTTTCAGCAGTAATGGATAATCTTGCATATGGACTAATGACATTATTTGATCCAGGTCATGTTTATCCAACTGATGATTGAAATGATTCAGACAGCTTTGCTACCTGTGAAGACAGATGGATTCCGGCTTCATCACCACTCCTGCAGTGGAACTCTTCTAGGTCTTAACACAAATTTTGGAGGTTTTATAAGGCCACCTCCATCCTTGAAAAATACCAAGCAACAATTTTTGTCCTTTCATTCTCAGGCACTCTTCAAAATGTTGGTGTTCTTATCAGACTTGTCAGCCTTCATATTCTAGGTTTAATCACTACTCATAAGTTCTGTTTGCATTTGACCTTCTAATTCTTCAGTGACTCAGTAGCAACTTAAAGCCTGAAAATCATTGTGATCAAAATTTCTCACCAATTTCATTAGGTTTGTTTGAATAACTTGGAATAAGTATATATTATTCATATAAGGGTTAAATTAAAAAACATCTTTGGCAACTATCATATTAGCTTCACTAATACTGAGTGAGTACAAAGTGATACTACTATTGGAGAATGCCCTCATTATTTTATTTAGTAGCTGTACTATCTTTGGAAGATTGAGGTTGGCACTGATTACCTTTGCCAGTAATTTTCAACAATTGTGAAATGTGCAATTTATTTTGCTTTCAGCTGTCAGTTGCAATTTTAAAGATGTAAAGCCAACACCACCCTAATAATGACAACTTAAAAGTTTTCTTTTTTTTTTCACAATAATCACAGACACCTTTCAATTTATATTTTCTGAAGCAGCTTATTGCTTTCCTCCCTTTTCAGTTTAGACATAGAGCAGGTTGGATGTTCTGCAAAAGTGCCAAAAAATCCCCATTACCTAGCTTGCCTACTTGAAGTAGTGCATTTAATGTTTAAAGCAACATATTAGTTTAATCCAGAGAACTGTAGAACTCCATGAAATAATCTGGTATTGGAAATAACCTGAACTTAAAAGTAGTATACATATCTTCAAAGTAAAAAGAAAGTGTATCTACTTATTTTGAATATAGAATTTCTACTAGGGTTTTAGACTATAATGGAGTCCCAAATCTTTGTAAATTAATTAATTTGCTTGGGCTTATCACTGGCATATTTGTTTATTTGGTTTTGGTTTTATTCTTTTTTTAGTAGAAGAAGAGCAATTCCTTTTACAGAAGGCTCTCTTATCAATATTTGTCCATCTGGACCTAGTTTTTATTAATTCTGAAACTATTTTCTGATTACTTCCGAAGTCTAATAAAACAGCTCTCTTCCTTTCTTTTATTTGTACCCAAATAGACTTTTTTTTGAAAGATACAGTATTCAAAAGTTATTTCTTATTATTCTTCAGTACTTTCAATTCAGGGTTATCCTTCACACTTCGGTACTGTCTTAACCCCTGTGTTTCAGAATGAACAATGTTTGTGATAAAATATTGGGCCTGCCTAGACATAATGTGATAAGCTAGCAGGCTCTTCCTGTTTATTTTTAGGGGATGATAGAGATAAGATTATAGTTTAATTTCCTCTCATCCAAAAAACCTTCATATTTGTGCTAAAATTTTTATTAATTTAATAAAGAGTGACATTTGGTCCAGGTTGACTATATTGTTCCAAATGTTTCTCATTTCTGATATATTACTAGAGAATCTGCTCAGAGTTGATTAGATTGGATGGCATTGCAATAAATATTTTAAACTTTTTGTTGTAATAAAACAATCACTCTCCTAATTTTTCTGGAATTAAACTGTTATCAGACATTCAAAACATTTTTTCTTTATATCTAAACATCTGGCATGTTGTATACCACAAATTAATACAGCATCTCAGGAAAAAGGTTGCTTTTACACTGAATTTATCAGATGTTGCAGTGTTTTTGCCCTCATATAAACTCTATTTTAGCTCATGTGATAATAAATATTCTTAAAAAGAAAAATGATAACTGAAGAAACCTACATATATAAATAGCTATATATATATGTAAATATAAGCATATATGTAAAAACATGCATATCCATTATATATTCTAACCATTTAGTTATACAAAACTCTCAACAAAAAGCATTATTTCTAATCTATGGGTACACCTGCATATTTGGGCAAAACACGGATTTTCAAGTTTTCTTTCATGGAAAATAATGAAAATTGGCAAAGATAAAGCAAAGTAGTATGGCCATCGAGTTTATCATTGTCATGTCATATTTTTTCTCTCTCTTTGAACACTCAGAAGTAAATTATTTTTGCTTCTCTGAAAATTCCACAGTGACTTTAATCTGGTTTTAGCATTAAGACAAAGCCAGATAATCAAGACTCATCAGATTTAGAAAACTGTCAGAAAATCAGCCAATAAATCTTCCTGCAGTCGTATAGTCTTGTTTCCAATTATCTTTCCAAATCTTATGATTGTCCCTCCACAAATCAAATATCTCTCTTCACAAAAAACGATTGCCCTTCAGCTGCAGAATTCAGATGGCAATCCTTTTAACTACCCACTCCGACTCATTATAATTAAGGGCTAAAATTTCCAAAACAGAGAACTATATTATTTCAGTTTGAATTAGTGTCATCAATTGAGTTCAAAATGACATGGCCATGAATATATATTTCTTTAAAAAAATAGGCAATATAGCCCATTCCACCCAGTGACAGGGACAGTTTACATAGAAGATGGAGTGTGTATACAGGGCTGGGGAGACACAAAGAAATATGTTCATAATAGTTTGTTAGTTAAATAAAAACTTCTTTGTACTATTTATGAATAAATCATTATATTAGGCTCAATAGTTAAGTTAATTTAAATTAATTATTTCTAATTGTCCTCCTTAACTCTTGGCTAATTCTTCCAAGGGAGACTTCTTGTTATTTGCATTAGCACCTAGTCTAATTCTTTTTAAAGAGTAGATGCTCACCTGTCCCATTTCACCAGTTCATGCTGTAGACCAAGTCTGTGGACATGCTTATTATGGTCATAAGTAAACCTTTAAAAAAATCTATAAAGATTTATTGTTTAATCTAAATTACCTTCTTATTTTCAGGTATTTTTGGCTGAATACACAGGACCTCTGCTAATATATCTCCTCTTTTATTTGAGGATCCCATATATATACGACACGGAAGAGAGCTCTAGAAGGTTACGCCACCCAGTGGTACAGTACGTAATACAAACAGTACATACGAATTAAGGAGGTGATGAATTAGTATACAGATTTTATGTTAATTAGGTTGTTTGCAAAGAACTTCTTTCTCTTTTTATTTCCTAGAAGGATGAGTCAGATTTTAACCAGTATATTTAGGAATCTTCATATGGAAATTATTTCTGGTACAAAACAGTTTTGTGCTTTGCAGGAGTGGGAAAAAAGCTAGTGTAGCAGAAGTACAGAGAGGCAAGGGGAGATTAGTTATCGGGGATGATGGGCAAATTGTTCAGGGCTCTTTAGAATATTGTTATCTTCCTTTTACTTTGGTGAAGAGAATGCCCAATTAATTTAGAAAAAGTCTGGGGTGGGGAGTTCATAAGGAGAAAGTAATTGTACTCATTTTTTAGACCAAAACTATAACCTGTATTAGATACATAGCACAACGTGAAGAAAGAACATTTTTTCCCATTGACATTCTCTAAAGAATTGACTGTCTGTCACTGTTCCTACACACAAACACAGCATGGTTTATAACATTTCAGTGATAAATGTATTTGTGCTGCATTGTTCCAAATTAGAATAACATCTTAAATTTATATGAGATCATTCCAGAACAGAAACATACAAGCACCCAAACTACTTTTGAAATTCAACTCTGTTTAGCAGAGGCCTATAAAATAATCACAAGCTTTATCAGGCAACCCAGTTTCAGGATGGAAGATGTCAGTTCTCAAGATCACATTTCAAATGTCACATCCAGTTAACAAACTCCAATGTTAACTCTCCAAAAGTTGCTTTGATTGTATCACAGAATTGAAAGTATTTTTTTTTGTATGTTCAAATCTGCACGTGCCTCAACCTCCACAAAATTCTTTGGATCTCTTAGAAATTTCTGCACACTAGGACTAAAGGCTAATTTCCTGCAGGAATTCTATCCCCATCAAGTAGTGAGAGGAGGGCCCACAACTCGGTATAATGTAAATGTTCTTTATTCAATCAATGGTAGGAATAGAGATACATACTCTAGAGTGTCATTGTCTCTTCAGTGAAAAAGCTGCACTGTTGCTAAGGCCACTTCCTTAGTGTTTCTGGCTACATCATCAGGGCTGGAAAAGCAGCCCTAGAAACCTTCTGTACACTCAGCATTCAGTCTGACTATATGTTTAGGTCACCCACCTTGTTAGTCTCACACTTTCAGTTCATCCTTCATCTCTCACACTGCATGCCAATAAATTCTACAGTCATCTCTGTGTTGACTTCCCAGAGGCTTTCCCAGCTCCTGGAATCCTTCCCCTGTGGCCTCATTGCCCTTGTGTGCTTGTACAGCCAAAAACTGGCACAGCTCTCTAAAGGTGGGACTGTGTTCTTTCACAGCCCTGACATATTGAAACTTACTTAATACAGTATTTTCAGATATTTTGATTGGAAAAATAATTGAATCCAAGCTTACTTATGGACATTCAATTAACAGCAATGGACAGAGAAAGAGTTGACATTTAAAGGGAAGTCAACCATAATTAAACAGAAAATATTTTGGAGTGAAATCAGACTTGGCGTGTTAGCAATAATGTGCAAAATGGCATATATCCAAGCAGTAAGCCATAGATGTATGTACTATGCTGATCTCTATATGCACATGATATGATGGAAAACAAATAAATTAACTAGTTTAATCATAGCTTGAACAAAAATTTCTCAGTTATTGCTCTGTTACATTGTTGGGCATAACCTAATTTTTCTGCTTTCTTACAAAATGCAAAATTTTATTACTCAACTATTTATGTAATTACTTCTACAAAAAACCTAGGAGAGATACTGATTCCCTCACCAGTCGTTTGAACCCACAAAGCAACCTCCTATATCAGGACTTTGTTTATACACGTCCAACTGTCTAGAAATTTCTACCCCCACATATCTACTTTATTCTCTCATTTCTTTTAGAATTTGTCTATTGTTCATAGATATACATATCACATAGAACATGTCTCTCCCATAATGGGTGCACAATTATATTTTTATACATTAATGAATAAAGATAAATTTCTTGACAACTTAGCCAAGTCATCTGTTTGTGTCAGATTATTTATTAGTTTGTGTCTGATTATTTATTTTTCCTCCCTGAAGTCACTGTTATTAACACAGACATAATGAATTCATTTTTGTTTAAATAAACTCCCAGTGGAGACTCAGTGTTTGATTTTACATAGAGTAAATGACATGCTGATTTTTTGCTCAATAAGTCTGCAATTTTCTATCTATATTGATTTTTTTAAATAACAAATGAAGTTTCTGAACTTTGAAATTGTTATTCATAACAAAATGGGTACAGATTTTAATGGAAGTATTTAATGGAATATACTTCTCTTAAGTATAAATAAAAACTGTACTTCTGTAATGATATCTGGCTTTCACTTTTAACATAATAGTTATATAAATGGCAAGAAGAGGCGGTAACTTAAAACAACAACAAAAACAAACAAGAAAAAACAAGACCATAAGTTTTACAATAGGTTACATAGGCAAAAATCAAACATAGAAAAAAACCAAGCAAAACAAAAGTGGCATTGACTCTATAGAAAATGAAATTCAAACTTTTTCAATGTATGGTACTTGCTAAAGGACAACCAGACAATGAAAAAGTTTATTCTGAATATTACAAAAATGTCACATTCATTCTACGTAGATTTTAGCCACATTCAAAACTTTTAAACTTGCTGCTTCAGTCATGGGGCTATTTGATATAAGCACATTTGCAATTATTGTATTTCATATATATTTCTGGGGCAGGTCTGAGCAGTTTAAGATTGGTATTATAAAATATCTTGAGCACCCTTAGAAGTAAATTTATAGACTGTTGCCTAACAGTGCTTTCATTATTAAATATATTTAGAAATTTTCTAGAATAAAAATATTAAGGCAAATACTTGTGTTTTGTTTTAGAAATAATATTTCTTAAAATATATAATATTGAAGTAAACTAAAAAAAATGTCTAATGCATAACACAAGCCAGATTTTTGAAAGAGAATTTAATGGGTTTATGTTTTATTTTATTTCTAGCTTGGCATGCTTTTGTCATTGTATACACTACATCAGATGTCTCTTGGAAACCTTATTTGTTCACAAAGTTTCTGCTGGACATACACCTTTGAAAAAATTGATAAAGGTAAGGAATGATGTGATTTGTAATTTTAATTATTATTGAGGAATGTTATGTATTTGATCATCTGCAAAATAATTCAATCGTGGTATTTCCCTTCTGCTTTGATTTTTTTGTTCATCTACATTAGCATACCTTAAACATTCTGCTCTTGTGCGATCTATTTTACTGGATCTGCCCTCAACCAATAAAAGATTTTCCATGACCTTATGTTACAAGCCACATATGTTCAGGCACCTTTAATTTTAGAAATACTATATTTAGCATTGAATTCAGATTCTTTAAGTGCCACTTGAAGAGAAGGAATCTCATATATGAGCCTTGCTATAAATATACTTCTTAGTGATTAAAATGATAAAACTGTTCCTCATATTTATTCAGTTCTTAGTATGATGACAGTGTCTTCACTCTTCTATAAAATGGTAAATACAAGAGTTATTAACTGTAGTTATCATGAAAATGGAAACTTTCTGAATGATTGAAATGGAAATGTATGTTAGATTACATGCCACAATTCAATTTTCCAATTCCAATTAAAATTTACTTTATTTTCCAATTTAAAATTTAGTTGCAGTATGAATTATGTCCTTAATAAAGTTTTCCTGGATTTTGGTAAATACCTGTTTTCTAAAAATTTCAACAAGGTAGCCATTCTATTGTTGTCACTGTAATAATGAAACAGTAACTCTAGAGCTCTTAGAAACCCTAGAAATTACTTTAGACTAGCTTCGCTTATGCTGGAAGGTATTAAAATTTATCAAATCAGTTCAAGATCAGCTTATAACCTAGGACTCCTAAAGTTAGGCTATTTGCCTTTCTAATCAATCAAGACAATTTATTACTAATGATTGAATAATTATTTTTTATTTATTTACTGTTAGAAGATGACTATTAGTCTCTCTCATGTTACAGATGATTTATTAGTTTTATTACTTCATTCATATTTATTACTTGAAAAAATTCTTGAAAAATATTTCTAAAATATATTGGTATAGTAATATATATATTATTATATGTCTAAAATATAATTGTCACAGTATCATAAATACCCACTTATATTAATAAAAGTTGAGCAAAAAGTAAATGCATTTCCTTAGTGATATCAAATAGGTAATTTCAAAATCCTGTTTTACTGGTGAGAAAGCACTTCATTTTTCTTAGAAAATTTATATAATTCTTCATACAAAATTGTTGCAATGTAGCATATAAATGTATGGGATGGTTTAGAATGATGTGATTTTTTTGTATATATACTCCCTGTTATTTTATCTTATTTGTAGGGCTGTGCATTTTACTGGGGATTCACTTCTTGGATTGCTTACTACATTAATCACCCACGGTATACACCACCATGTATGTAAGATTTTTTTGTAATTAATCCCATACGAACTTGCCAAAATCAAAACTCTCTTCTAAACTTCACAGAAATGAACACGGCCTACTTAAACAAATATGCAAATAGTGAGAAAGAATGTCAATTTTAAATTGCTTCCATATCATACTCCATTAATTTTTTATGTAGACTTAGAAGGCAGATTTCACTGACAATCTTTGATTTAGTTTCTCTCTATAAGAAGTCTAGCCAAAATATGAGTTGATTGTGGATTCTAAAACGGCAATAAAGTGAAAGAGTAAAGAATAAGGAAAAAAAATACTCTATGATCTCATGATGACATAAAATCAGCTTTCAAGATTTTAAAAAATAATAACTATCCTTTGCAATATGGTTCAATAAGAAAAAACAGAGACATACTTTTTTTCTGTGACATACTCTTTCCTATTTATAATTTTATTAGATGTCATTGCCCTTGATTCAGATGAAGCAATGTGGCGGGAAGCACAGTGGACCAAACGTAAATCCTAAATTCCTAATCCTGGGAGAAATCATTCCCATCCTGTCCAAAGAAGCCCATTGCTTTTACTAACTAAGGCCCTTTCTTTCCTCTACTTTGAGTGCAGCCCATGAAGCACACACCCAGTGCTACACAAGTTGAGGTTTTATGTTTGACAATAAAATTTTTATGGTCTATTTCTGGTGTTTAAAAACTTTGAAATAAATGGAAATGAATGATGTATGCAAGCTTTATTTTAGATTTATAAAATAACTTAAAACACCTTAATATCTTTGAAGTACCAACAGCGTGGCATTATTCAGGCTCTTTGCTAAGATCAACAAATCTAGTTTAACAGGCTAGGTTAATAGTAAATGACTGCAAAGTTCAAAAGCCGAAGTCTTCTAAGTACTACTAATTAACTATGAATATTGAAGAAAACTCATATAACTCCGAGTTTTAAAATATTTTAGCAGAAGATGTATTTAGTAACTTTAGACCATTAACTGTTAAGTAGATACTCTTGCTCCATAGCATATTTAATAACAGGAGACTGAAAAATGCTACATTTGTATAGCTGATATAAAATAATAGAGGTTGACTGCTAATATATGTAAAATATTTATTGAAAATTATGTTTATCAAGGACTATAAAATTGCTATTAATTGTATAATAAGGAACATTATTATATAAGTATTAATATTCCCCATTACAGATTAGGTAAACAAGGCCTCTGATAGCTTGATTTTACTGTTCTGAAGTCTCTTAACTGCGTAATTTGTAAGTAGGACTCAAGTTCTGTGCAACTTTACTTTCAATACTGACTCCAAGTGGAAAGTGAGTGTCATGTATAGGCAGTCAGTGCTTTGCATGCCTTGGATATACACAGATTTCAGTTTTTATAGTTTAGTTAATTAATACAGCCCCCAAAACTATTCTTCAAATTTTAGTGACCACATACGTTAATTTCAATTGCATAAATTGATCATAAAATATGCATAAAGCACATATTTTGCAGCTAGCTCTTCAGTCCATATATCACTCCAGAAATAACATGCAGATCATGGTCAGTGACACCTGGTGGTGATTGGGAACTGCATGTCTGTCACTCAGTTCACTCACCACTAGCTAGTAACTGAAACAGACTGCAGCAGTTTGCACAAAGAAAGTAGTTATTGAGCAAATGGCTAGCTAACCCCCCATCAGCCAGACAGATAAATTCAGATATTCTGGATAAACATTTTCATGGAATTTAAAAAGAAAAGAGCATATCCACTTGATCACATATTTTGATCTAAGCAGGAGAAGCTTCTATTTCTTAACCTGATAGTTGTCTTAGCTTTGGCTGCTGTATGAAATAACAGAGAATAAGTGCCTTAAACAAGAGGAATGTATTTCCCAGCTGTGTAAGCTGGGAAGTCCAAGATCAAAGTGCTGGCAGATTGGTTTCTCTGCTGAGAACTCTCTTCCTGACTTTCATATGGCTTCTCATTTTCCTTACATGGTAGAGAGAAAAAGGGAGAAGCTCTTCAGGTGTCTCTTCTAAGGACATAAATCCCAGCATGAGGAGCTTATTATCATGATCTAACCTGAACTTAATTACTTCCCTTAAGCTCCATTTCCTAATACCGTTATATTAGGGTTAGGGTTTCAACATATGAATGTTGGGGGACACCATTTAGTCCATAGCAATAGTGATGTAGCCCTAGAATAACTAGTCTACATTGCAGACAAATAACAGGATCCAACAAATCTAATTTGTCATATGCTTATGACATTTATTAGGCTTTATTTTTTCCCTAGAATTTCATTTTAATTTTTGGCAGCTATGCTACTAAAATATCCTTCCTTAACTTCATTATATCTTTGTAAGATTTTTAAAGATCTTCCTCTTTTATATCTCTGATTAGAATCTATAGATTAAATAATTATATTTTTTAAAATGGATTATATTAATTCATAAAAATTCAATGCTGTTCCCCCAAAGTAGAAATACTGCAAACTACATTATCTTCAGATGAGATGAAATTAACCTTTCATAGTTAAGAACAAAAAATTTTAAATCAAAAAATTTAAAACTGAATATTTAAAACACATTCCCAAAAAGGTATCTAAAAGTAAAAATAATCTTACAGAAAAGACTATGAAAAAGTAACAAAAGAGGAAGCAATACATATTAAAGCTGTTTTCAGAAAAGTAGCTATAATTTTATTAGATAATCATATTTAAGGAAAATGAAACAAACATACTAATTAAAATGTTTCTTTTAAAACATTTTACTCTATGTGCTGCATTAAATTTATCTGCTTAGAGCTGCAAAATAGACAGTTAAGCCAACTTTTACATTGTTTCCTTTGAAATTTTTTCTTAAAACCTGAATGCTTATTATGTAATTTTTCTTCATTTTACTTTCACAATTAGAAAAAGAAAAAACAGAGGCTGGATTTCGTGTTTAATGTTTTCATCATAGTTTTCTGTGCTTTCACTTTATATATGTTCTTTTGACTTACATACTCAAGTTTTTAATTCAGGATTTTTTTTACGTTATAATTATTGTTATTATTTTTCTGTCTTTTTATGTTGTCATAATTAACACTGTTGTTCTCTGCTGTTTGCATTAACTGTTTTTTTCCACCTTTTTCTGTAGGCTCTGCACCAACACTGTTTCACCTTTTTTATAGTCCTATTTGCAATAGTTTTGATTGCAAAATTAGTAGCATCTGTACATTTACACACATAGACACACTTAAATGAAAAACAACGTTTTTGTAGGTATTACCAACATGTACACCATCAAGGAGGTCACTTTCCATACTTCTTGAACTCCATACTCTCATAATTGAAAACTGCCAAATGGCAGGAATATTACATTAATTGCAAACTGGAAGGCTTATGTTTGGAAAAATACATAAATATCTGACAACAATCAAGGAAAAAAGGCCTCTTTTTTTCCTACTTGAAGGTGAGATATCTGCAAATTATAAAGTATTTCAGAAAGTTTTAATGATGGCTACATTTTTTTCTGGAAAGGTTGTTTAAATTATACTATCTTCAGTTTTGTTTGTTGGAAATAAATAGTAAAACTAACTAAAATTATACCCATTGGCCTAGTACCCACTTTCATCAAATTGTTATTTATCTTCTAAAAATTAAAACAAGGTATGTCTTCACTATCCTGCTGCAAGAAATGCTTTGAACTCTTTTAAACATTTATTAGATCGAAGTTCAATCATGTTCAGAGATTCATCTGTTAACTCCTTGAATAACAATACATCCGTTTTAGCTCTTACATTAAATACTATATAGATTCTTATTAGTAACACTTATCAAGGCTGTAAACTTCCATTTTGTTGTCATGTGATAATTCAGGTAACAGTTGCATTTGGCTTACTTTAAAATTAATTTATCATAAGAACACAGTATAGTGCTATTGAATGAATGAAGTTTTGTTGAGTAGTAAGCACAATCAAAAAAAATATAGCAGATAAGGATGAATATTACCCAATTATTGTAATTTAGCTAGAAAAGAATGTTTAATTATATGACAAAATGAGTACAGCATAATATTCAGGGAATAGGTGAATATAAAACATTCTAGCAAATACTGTAAAAAATATGTAACAAATACTTATATTTAAAAAGGGGGAAAATCCAATTTTAACTGATTTACTATGAATAGTGAGATTTTTAATGTATTTTATTTTCCCTTTACACTTTTAACTATTTCTCAATTTTTCTCCATTGCTGCATTTAATTTATAATCAGATATATACACTTATAAAAGCAAAATTTCCAGTACTTGTGGATGTTATATGTATTTTATACATATATATCCATGCATAAATACTTCGGTAACTTTCAACTAAAACACACTTAAATTTCTAGCCCATATAAAAAGAACTTCAATACAGACTCATGAAGAAAGATGTTTGAAGCAGTATTATTTATCATACAAAAATTAAAATGACTTTATGTAACAATTAGATAATATTTAATGTAAGAGCTAGCCACATCTTAAATTATTACATGTATTCCTGGATAGTTTTGACAATGAATGTTTAATAATATTAGAAAAGCCTTTAAATACATCCTTACATGAAAAAAATGCAAGATTCAAGATAAGGCATTTATACTAATTTTTAGTTGTAGGTGTTTTTATATAAGTAAATATAATTTACATGTATACGCACACAAATATGGAAGAAATGCAATTGTTAATACAAATGATGATCTTATCAGAAAAGTCTATTTCTAGTACTTTTTTATATTCCAAGTTCTCTTCCATGAGCAAGCTGAATTTAGGACACTGTTTTTAATACCCTTTTTGTCCATTGCTTTATATGATTTGAGAAGTTATGTAACCTACATGTTTCTTTACTTTAAGATGAGAGCAATTATACTTGCTTTTATGATGAAAAAATTTCAAACACTTAAAATATTGCCTGTTATAAACCATCAAGGCAAAAGTTATTATTATTAGCATTTTCTTTCATTAAACATTAAATGACAGGAGATATTATTGTGTGTCTTCATATGCTAAGCCATACTAATGTGCTTTCAAAGGGACAAATGAGAAGTTAAATCTGCCTTCATAGAGGTTAATACTACAAAATAAAAATAGATTCAATTTGTGTTCTAATTACCATTAGATTGCTAGAAGAAAATACATGTGGAGAGCAAAAATATTTCATCTCTTTAGATTGCAAAAGTATCAACCCAAAAGTTTCATTACCTACCATACAGTAATTTTTTATTAGAGGAGAGCATTGACCAAATTATGTCAGTTGTGTGACAATCCAAACTTTGAGTGCTTGCATAATTTTCTTTTCCTACTTTCTAGCATTTGGAAACAGGCAAGTCACAATATCTGCTATCAATTTTCTGGTATGTATTATTTATATTATTTGCTATTCATGCTCTAATTGTGGTATTATTAAAAACACAAAATATATTGTTTTTGAGGATTTGCCATGTAGAAAATATTATCCATTTTCATATCATTTATATAATGGTATTAAATGAACTAAATTAATTACTTCCCATAATCATTAGCTCTCTAAATATTTTAATTAAAATGTTCTACTCATCTATAAAGCATTATTAGAATAATATAAAATATAGTAAAGTTTGAAAAAATATAATTAGTAATTCCTCTTATTGTCTGCACATTTACAAATTTACAAACCTCTAAGAGAAAACGGTTTCAAAAGTCTAAAAGATGAACATCCAAAAATACTTTAACATAATTATTTACTTGCTAATTGTGGATGTAAACAAACTCTGCCATTTTGAATGAAACACAGCTCTTTCCTAAGTGTTCTCAGTCCAGTTCTCTAGATCATTCTATTTAACTTTACATATGCACAGTTTGAACTGGGTACAAATCTGTGAATGAGAGACTTTTATTATTTCCAAAATGTATTAATTATTTAATTAGACACTTATTTAGCTTCATGTACCATATATTCCCGCACTTTCATTCTTCATCCATATTCTTCTTCATTTCTGCCCTTGATAGATTAACTCCCATGATTCCTATCCCTGATATATTGATAAACTCTCATGATTCATGTGCCAGTTTATATCCTTTGTGAAGTTTGTATTGAACAATATATACCCCACCATTTCATGCAAGGCACATATCACACACTACACTTTGCAGAAAGCTCTCATATGAACCTGTGTGTATGTGTGTGTTTGTGTGTGAGTGTTAATTTTTAAGTTAATGGTTTACCTAATAACATCCTTTACTGTGTTGGCTGTAGAGAGGTAGATCATGCTTTACGTTTTTTTGGTACCTAGCTTTTTGAATAGTAGGAGCTCACTACTTGCTTAAATGAATGACAAAAATCATTTTTAACTCAGAATTTCTTAAGCAAATATGTTGTAAATATATCAATGCAACTTAATTTCACATATGTGTATATTGTTTATAGTGAGCAAGCCCGTAGTTTATTTATTTTGATGCCAGCATTGCTAACCTATGTTGTACCAAATTTAATGTTCTATGTTAACTACTCACTACTTTGAGCAAATGGAAGAATTAATAGATAAAACAGTAACTACTGTTATTTACAACTGTTGTTTGTCTCATTTTTCTCATCTTTAGAATGTTATCCATCACTTTTTTTATAACTTATTTATTTCTGTGTAAATATTTACACAGCTGCCATTTATATAGTATAATTTATTTCTTCTCTTTCCTCAAATGCAGTATGGTTTTACCATAATCCATTGCTCTACTATAAAAAAAAATTTCCAAGAAAGTTTTAGCTTTTGAAAACTTTGTATGTCATAATATTTATATTTTCTTAAAAAGTGATGGGAAACTGATTTCAAAACAAGCAAAATTCTAGTAGTTCATACCATGTATTTTACCCCTGACTTTAAAAAACTCTTCCTTCTTATTAAACTATTAGTACTTCTTCTTCACATATGCCTCTATTAATCAATGCTTTTTTATACATTCTCTATGAGAAAAAATTAAGAAGAATTAGGCCAATTACAGTTACTGTCATGTAAGGGCCATAATAACAAACTACACATACTGATAAATAGTAGCATTGACTATGTCTAATATAGAGGTACAAGATAAATTTAATAATTCTAATGCTATATTTCAAAGCACAAAATAAGCATTATCTTTTTCAATCATGGACTTAAGATAAAAATAATAACATGGGCTTTTAATTATAGATAGTATGAAGTATATGGGAAAACCTTATTTAAAAGTCAGAATACTGTGATTGCATTCCATTGAAAACAAAATTTATACCTGAGGCAGACCAGTGTAACCCTATTAAACTGTAAATTGTGAGGACAAATTAAAACGTCTTTTAGCCCTTAAGTTTCTTATAATGACCAATATAGGTGAGACACATTAATTTTCACAAATAAAATATATCAACATATAAATCATATAAACTGCCAAAGTAATGTTGAGAAAGAAGAACAGAGCAGGGGCTTGGGGGGAAGTAGCATGGGTCCTGATTTCAAACTAAACTACAAAACTACAATAATAAAAACAGTATGGCAAAACAGTCTATGGCAAAAGACACATGGACCAATAGAACAGAATTTAGAACCTAGAAATAAACCCATGTTATTATGACCAATTAAAAATGACAAAAGAGACAAGAATATATGATGAGGAAAACAGTCTCCTGAATGAATGGTTTTGGGAAACTATAGAGTTACATGAAAAAGGATGAAACTGAACACTGTCTTACACCGTACACAAAAATTAACTGAAAAATAGATTAAACATCTAAATATAAGGCCTGTAACCATATAACTCCTAAAAGAACACATCAGTAGTAAACTTGTGAACATTGGCATTAGTTATTTTTTTCTGGATATATCTTGCCAAGTAAGTAAAACAAAAGCAAAAATAGACAAGTGGGATTATATAAACAGATTTTGCACAGCAAAGGAAAACACCAACAAAACAAAAAGGTAACCTATTGAATGGGTAATATATTTGCAAATGATATATCTGACAGGGGGTTCATATCCAAAATATATAAAGTCACACAATTTGACACCAAAATGCCCAATGATCTGAGGAAAACAATTGATGATCTTGGTGAGAATTTCAACTAAGCAATAGAAAATATGAAAAACAGCTACTCAGAGATGAAAAATAACAAGTGAAAAACACAATGGAAGAAATGAATAGTAGATTGCTGAAGGTAGAGGAAAGAATCAATGAGAAGGAAAATTAGAGAATAGGTAAGCAACCAAACTGAGAAACAGAGTGAAAAAAGAATTTCTAAAAAGAAGATGTTAATAGAGCTGTGGGACAACTCCAAGTGAAACAGCATCTGCATATAGGCATCCCAGAATAGGAAGAGAGAGGCAAAGGAGTAGAAAGTCTCTTTGTAAAAATAACTGCTGAAAACTTCCCCAACCTGGGGAAGGATATAGACACCTAGGTCCTGGAAACATAGAGAACTACTAACAAAAAGAACCCCAGGAGGACAACACTAAGACTTACAGTAATTAAATTGGCTAAGATTAAAAATAAGGAGAGAATCTTCAAAGCAGCAAGAGATAGGCAGATAGTTAACCCTAATGGAAATTCCATAAGGCAATCAACAGATTTCTGTATTGAAAGGAAAAAACCTACAATCAATAATCCTTTACCCAGTAAGTCATCATTCAGAATTGGAAGAGAGATTAAAAGTTTCCAGATGAACAAAGGTTAAAAGAATTCATCACAACTAAACCTGCCTTACAGGACAAGTTAAAGGAACTTCTGTTGATGGAAATATTCTTAATCTTAAATATTCTTCATCAGTAAAAATAAACCTAAGGTAAATATAGTAGAAAAATGACTTACTAAGCAAATATGAATTTCAATAAACAAAAGTAGTAAAATCAATTATACACAAAATTAGACAAGGGAAACTCAAAAGATGTAGATTAAGACATCTTATACAGAAAGTGTAGAGGAGGAAGAAGGATAAAAAAGTAGTACTTTTAGATTGTGTTAAAAAATGGGCAACCATCAACATATGGAGACTTTTATATATTTAAGAAACTATCTGTAAACCTTATGGTAACAACAAACCTAAAGCTTATAAAAGATATACAAAAAACTATTTAAAAAAAGAAATCCAAGCATAACATTAAGGAAAAACATTAAATCACAAGAAAAGAGTGCAAGAATATAATAGATACACACACAAAAATTTTTTAAAGTGATCAAAGCATAAGACTGAAGAAAATATCAAATAACAAGAGAAGTGTGTGAGGAAGAAATGAACAGAGAAGAACTACAAAAACAACCAAGAAAACAATCAATAAAATGGCAGTAAGTGCATACCTATCGATAACTAACTACCTTAAATGCAAATGGACTGAATGCACCACTCAAAAGAAATAGGGTGGCAGAACAGATAAGGAAACATGACCCATTTACATGCTGCCTACAAGAGTCTCACTTCAAACCCAAAGACATACACAGACTGAAAGAAAAGATATTTCATGCAAATAATAGGGAGAAAAAATCAGGAGTTGCAGTATTTGTATCAGACAGAATAGACTTCAAAACAAAGAAAGTAACAAGAGACAAAGAAGGACATTACATAATGATAAAGAGATTAATCTAACAAGAGGTATAACAATTGTAAATATCTATGCACCTAACATAGGACCACCTAAATTTATTGAATGAATACTAACAGACCTAAAGGGAAAATAGCTACATATAATCTAATATCATTATATTAGAAGATTTTAACACCCCACTTACATCAATGGACAGATCATCCAGACAGAAAATAGATAAGAAAATAGAGACACTGATCAACACACTAGATCAGATGGATTTAACTGATATATACAGAACATTCCACCCAAAATAAGTAGATATACACTTTCCTCAAGTGCACGTGAACATTCTCCAGAAGAGATCACATATTAGGACACAAAAGGAGCCTCAATAAATACAAAGACTGAAATTGTATCAATCATCATTTCAAACCAAAATGGTATGAAACTAGAAATCAAATATACAAAGAAAAAAAATGCACACAAACACATGGGAGGCTAAACAACATGCTTCTAAATCATCAATGGATCAAGGAACAAATCAAAGAATAAATCAATCAGTACATGGAGACAAATGAAATAAAAAATACAACAGTTCAAAATATGTGGGATGCTGCAAAAGTGGTTCTAAGAGGAAAGTACATAGCAATACAGACCTATCTCAAGAAATAAGAACAATCCCAAATAAAGACTAAACTCACAACTGAAGAGACTAGAAAAAGGGGAACAAATAAAACCTAAAGTAAATAGAAGGAGTGACATAATATAGATCAGAGCAGAAATAAATAAAATAGAGAAGAATAAAACAACAGGAAAAATCAATGAAATCA